TGAAAATTTAATCGATATGTTTGCCGAAGCAAAAGCAAGAAAGAAGAAATTTTGTATTGCTTTGTATATATTTTTTAAACCAAAAAAATGTTTAGTAAAATTTTACTATAAAAATAATATTACACCAAACATGTTTTTTATTGTTCGTAACCTTTTATAGAAGGGTAGAATTTTATAGGTGGTTAATTTTTGTAGGCTATTCYTCATATCTCTTTCTTCCAAATTTATAAAACTAAGGGCCCGATTGGATTATTTTGCCACGGGCATTAAAAGTTCTAGTTACGCCACTGCTGGTCAGTATACTTAAGGATTAACATCCAGCTCCATGGTGTAACAAGACATCATTTAAAGTATATTACTTGATAACTACCATGATTCACCAAGTTCTACACCGATGGATCCAAAACTGAAGCAGGGGTAGGAGCACCGGTATTCTACGATAATACATCAAAAATTATCAAATTTACTGATTTCTGTTGTGTCCACACAGCAGAAGCATACACAATCTCTCACGCACTTCAAATAATTCAACAATTCAAAAATAGATAAATCGCTCATGTTAAGCGACTTTCTCAGTACTATAAACAACATACACAACATAAATCAACCCAATGCCACATCCAGAATTATTCAAAATCAAATCTCCCTTCTAAAYTACAACAATCAAAAAAGGTAACATTGTTATGGATTCCCAGACATGTCGAAATCTCTGGAAATGAATCAGCAGACACCTATGCTAAAAGAGTCATAAACTACCCTAAGGCCTTCTTAGAGCAAATTTGCTCTCTGAACGACATCAAGGGAGTTATACAGTCTCTTACACTAAGTTGGACTGTTGGACATTGTCGCAAACAAAACTAACGAAATCAAATTTTCTATCAACCCTTGGTCAGTACTCTTCACTAAAATGTGTCATGTAGTTAAAATCAACAGACTAAGAATTGGACACACATAGCTTACCCATAGCTTACTCATGAGATGCGGAGACCCTGTCCATTGCTTAACCTGCGGGGAAGGTCTAACCATCAAACACATCCTCTTACACTGCCTTAATTATGCCGATACCAGAGCATCTCTAAACATACCGGATTACCTATATGAAGCACTTGGACTCAGTCTTGAAAATTGCAGCAATATCATAAYGTTTCTACAAAGAACTAAACTTTATTACTTTATATAATTATATTGTCTTTTTTTCTATTTTCTAACCTTCTATTCCTTGTATAACACTCTAAAACCTACCATAATGTAATAATTTAAATTATATATAGTTTAATAGCGTATCTCTAAAATATAAGCCAATAAACTTTATTTTTTTTATTTTTTACAATTTTTACAATTAATCGTTGAGACTTCAAATAAAAAAATACTTAAGTGTAAATACAGAAGTTACCAAGAAATCCAGTTAGCCATCTAGCTATAACCATTAATACTATGACATAGCATGGTAGTCTGCTATTGTTGGTGTTTACTACAGTAATGGATATTTCACACTCAAAAAGAGCGGGGTAAATGGAATTTACAAAACTACTCAATCAAGGTGAAACAACATCAAATTGCCAAAAGTTGGATGGAAAAAACGTTGAATTGTCGAAAAATAGGCAGCTATTCTGCCTAAAAATTTACATCAAGTTATATCATATAAGTATAAGACAAGTATATCAAGAAATATTATTTTCTAGATTCTCAAGGAACAAATAACTTACTTTTTAATAATAACAATTTAATTTATATAGGGGTACAATGTGCATTAGAATTAAGAAGTTATTCATATTATGTGTATGCACTTGAAAGTAATTGGTAAATTGTCACCACTATTAAAAGTATAAGACGTAGAAGAAACTTGGTTTACAGAAATAGTTTCCTTATATTAAATAAATTATACAATCATAATGTTAAAAAAAAAATGATTATTATTTAATAATGAACATTAGAATACTACAAGTAATAAATAATTATTATATAACTTACTAAAATTATTGTACATCAGTCATTTTTTGATTAGATTCAAAATAAGATTGTTCAGTAATAAATGAAGGTAGTTTACTCATTTGTTTATAAGAAGAATTACATTCCCTCATATTTTCTAATACAAATTGAAGATTCCAATGTTTCATTAAAAGTGCTTGTTGAATGGTAAATGACGAATATCTTATACAACGTATGGCAGTACATGTTGCTGAACATCTCAACTTAAGTCCTATTTCATGGACTAATGATAATAAATAACTCTCATATTCATTAATAACATTAACTTCTGAAATTGAAAAATAAAATAAATATTAAGTAGGTATAAATGTAATGATGTTATTATTAAATTAATTTAAATCATAAGTCTTGTGCAATTAAATAAATAGTGTTTGTAATATTTTCTTTTAAGAATTTTTGTCACATTACATACAACTGTTTAAAGTGAGAAATGTTTTTGATAAATTGCTTTGACTTTAAAAAAAAAAATTAAATTATAAGACAAAGTTTGAAGTTTGTATATTAATTATTAATTATTCTACAAGGAATTTCTAAAACAAAGATACAAACATAGGTTTTTGTTAATTTTTATATGAATACTTTATAGATTTYTAGTTATCAGTAAATYCAAATACTTACCAATAATAAAATTTGGTAAATCTAGACTTATGCACTTAATTCCATAAATTAAAGGAATTTTAGTRGATGCTGGTCGAATCAACCCTTTTGTAGCCAAATCATATGCTGTTTGAGTTTGAGTGTCTACATTGGCAAGCCTGAAATGTAATTTCAATAAGTACACTAAGATAATTTAATAATATTATAAAAATKTATACTCATGTAGTTACTCAAACATCTTTTTTTGATTTGATGCCTGTATTGTAGACATAAGTTTATCAACATTTTCACGTCTCACAAAATCAAAACGTCCCTTTTCAACAACTTGGCCATCAATGTGCATGTTTTTGGTCATCATTCCCAATCGTCCATGTAAATGATATGTTCGCAATGGATAATTGTTTTGAAGATTTCTTGCCATTTTGGTACCCTTATTTAGTCCAAAGACTTGAAAAAAAAAACAATATTAAAATTAAATAACTACCAATACAGGAATAAAGGGATGTAATGAACCTTAAAACTAGTCTTACCACAAACGCCTGACACACGCTTTCCTAAATGAGTAGTCCAAATACACTTAATGTCTTGGGTTTGATACCTGGGACCAACTACAAGTACATTGTCTGCAWAATTGGACTCTACTTTWACATTCAGTTCTTTTGTTGTGTCCCCGGAAATGACTACACGATTTTCTGGAGATCTAACACCGCATAAATTCAAATCTATAATGATATTATAATAAATACTCGTGTATACATATATTGTATTAATCTACAATTGTTGTTAATAAACATAACTTACCTTGCGTTAATTTTAAAAGCAATGTATGGCGACAACCACTTAAATGTACTCCAGCTGGTTTATACAAACACACAACACCATTCAAAAGTTTAAACGCTTTTTCACTAACCGACAGATTATTCATCTTAAATGTCTACCATTAATCAAAAAAGTTTAATTTTACAATAATAATGCTGTACAAAACAAAATAAAAATTATTGCTGTACGTATTTACATTTACATCCCGAGATTTAAACATTAAACATGGAACGACCGGAAATCAGAATCAAAAAGTTATAAATTATAGATCACGGATTAAGATTTAAGATATAAAAATAAAATGTGGAGATATGAAACATAGAAATATTCAAATATTGTGATTCGTCAATCGTTCAATAGTGATCTTTAATCAGTAATCAGTTCAAAAAAGTTATCATGTCTGTTATCAAAATACAAAACAATTTAAAAACAATTTTTTATGGATATTACAATATGATAATTGCAATTTTGGAAGGTTGAATTCATTTTTGCCCAAAAACTACATTAATACTATTAATTGATTATTACAATAATAAAATAAAGTATATAATGTATTATTGTTATCTTAACTTTGAGTACCTAAATACCGACTTACTGTATAATGGACAATGGTTCAACGGTTCGGTGTGAGTAGAATTGTCTAGCTGTTTAGGTACTATTATATATTGGCAAGATAGCTTAAAMTTAATTAAAATTCTTTGAAAATATCATAGAATTTAACAAAATATAATAATAAGGATAAATTTGTCAAGTTCCTAATCTCAASAATAATATTTTTGAATTAGGTACATATCTACTAAAGACTAACAAAAAACATTACTTTTCGTATAATTATTATACGCCTATAAAATTTCATTCAAATTTAAACTATAGAATAAAAATAAT